GGGAGGGGAAAGGTGGTTATAAGAAATAAATGAGGAAATAGGATGGGTGCAAGTACATTTACCTTTGTGAAGAGCAATGGGCAAGTCAAGTGAAGGATCTGGACTAGAAACAGGAGGTGTCTCGAAGTTGGAGAGAGGTGTAGGCTCAGGATGAGAGATGCTCAATGCAAGATCTGATGACAAAGCAGACAATGGAGGGCCAGAATTTGGGACGGTGACATTCGTCTCCTTGGAACGTCTTGTGTAGACACAAATAGGGTACACCAAAAGGTCATCCTCTTCCACAGATGGAGGAGGGACAGGTGAAATGGACAAAGAAAAGTATGGAATCGATTCTTGAAGGTGACATCAGCAGAAACTAGATAACGATTAAGAGTATGAGAGAAACACCAATAGCCCTTTTAAACCCGAGAGTAGCCAAGAAAGACACACTTAAGAGACTTTGGATCTAATTTAGAGACAGAGGGTTGTACATTGTGAACAAAGCAAACACACCTGAAGATCCTAGGATTAACAGGAAACAAAGGTTTTGAAGGGAAAAGAGTAGTATAGGGAATGTTACCATCAAGAACCAAAGAGGACATACGGTTAATGAGGAAGCAAGCAGTGGAGACAGCATCAGCCCAGAAAGTTTTGGGAACCTTTATTTGAAATAGAAGTGCTTGTGCCACCTCGAGTAAGTGGCAATTTTTACGTTTCGCAACACCATTTTGAGTTGGTGTATCAACACAAGAAGATTGATGAAGGATACCATTTTGAAGCATATAGGATTGAAATATGGTAGAAAAATATTCTTTAGCGTTATCACTACGTAAGGTGCGAATCAAAGTATGAAATTGATTTTAATTTCCGCAAAAAAGGCACAAAAATGAGAGAATAATTCAGAACGACTTTTCATTAAATATAACCAAGTTGTATGGGAATAATCATCAATAAATGTAACAAAATATTTGAAACCCTCTGTTGGCTCAACAGGACACGGACCCCAAACATCAGAATGAACTAGCTCAAAAGGGAACGAAACCCGTTTATTAACTCGAGAAACTAAAGGAAGACGATAATGTTTGGCAAATTGACATAACTCACAATCTAAAGATGACAAATGTTGAAACTGAGGATAAACCCTTTTTAGAAGACAAAGACAAATGACCCAAATGACAATGTGCTTCAAAAGGAGTGAGACCACTGGCACAAGCCACAGCACGAGATCCTTGCTCGTCAAGGAAATAATGTCCACCAGATTCATAGCCCCTACCAATAATCTTCTTCATCAAAAGATCATGTATCAAGCAATGATCAGAAAAGAGTGAGACCTAACAGTTTAATTGACGAGTAAGTTTACTAGGAGAAAGCAGATTAAATACAAGGTCAGGTACATCTAGCACAGATGACAAATGAATGGAGGGGGTAGGTTTAATAGTGCCTAATCTGAGGACTCGGGAATAGGAGCCATTGGCAATAGTGATAGTTGAAGGATTAGCGTAAGAGTTATAAGTGGAGAAGAGATGACGGTTACTTGTCATGTGGTCAGTAGCACCGAAATCTATGATCAATTTGGAGGAAGAAGAGACAAGAGCAGTAGCTTGATTACCTGTAGCAACAGGAGCACTCACAGGTAGTGTGAGAGATTTTAATTGAGTATATTTAGCAACAGAGATTGTGACCTTGTCATCAACTAGTGTTGCCACATGTGCAGAGTTATTACGTTGTTGTTTGTTTTGCAGCTTACGACAAGTACGCTTCGTATGGCCTGGTTTTTTTATAGTAGTAACATATCACCCCATTTGAATCTGGAGGGATTCCCTCTTGCTTAGAACTGCCACGGTTAGTTGTCCCACGACTCTCATTTTGTCCCTGACTGATTAAAGCATTGACAGGAGCATTGGTAACTGGTGATGAAAGATTCTCAGTCCTCATCACACGAGATAACACCTCCTGAAGGGTAGGAATTTCATATCCAGATAGAATTTGAGATCGAACAGTCTCATACTCAGGCGGAAGACCTGTGAGAAAACTCATGACGGCCATGTGCTCCCGTTGGGCCTGTTGAACTTTTAGATCAGTAGTGAGAGGCATTAGAACATTCAATTCTTCATACATTTGTTTAAAATCTACAAAGTAGGTCTTGAGAGGGTGATACTGCTTCTCTACACAATAGAAAGTTGCAAACCTCATAAACACGAGAGATATTTCCCTTGCCTGAGTAGAAAAACTCTAAGTAATTGATTAGTTCTTTAACAAATTCACAGTGAGTAACAGAAGGAATAATCTCACTGCTAATGGAGTTGCGGATCTGTAAGAAGAGCCGTGCATCGTCCCTTAACCATGATTGACAGGAGTCAGTGGTTGGAGGGTCTTCAATTAAATGATTATCCTTCTCAATGCTTCGTAAGTAGATACGAATAGTCTTACTCTAATTTAGATAATTTGTCTAGTTTAATTTGTGCTCAATAATCTTAACAACTATTGGAACCACTTCATAGGTAACTGCAGACTTATTATCACCTATGGGAGATTAACAGAAAAAGAAGACAATAATAGGCAGCCACAAATAGTCACATGGGGACCAAACAACACTATCCAAAGCCTGTTGAGTCAACAAAAGATAGTAGCAAGAACCCCAGATCTGAAACTTAACTGAAAAATAGAAGCCAAACGAAGCGAAACAGAAGCCAAACAGTAAATAGAAGCCAAACTCAACACAAAGAGGAGGACCCAGGCCCGAAAATGAAGAGACGAATTCAAAGAAGGACTTTGACATCAAAAGTGGCCAGAAAAGCGGTCGGTGGCGACGGCGCGTGACGTTCACATGCTTTGATGGTGACAGCACGTGAAGCTCACGTGCTCCTTGGATGGCGATGAAACTCTAATGGCTGGCCGGTCGGACCCTGCGACTCCTATTGGCCGACTTGTACTCCACTAGAGGCCAGGAATTGAAGCCCTAACATCAGTCAAAGGGGCTAACGGAGGAGAGGTATGTACAGCATAACAGAGTTCAGAAACAGAGAAAAAAAAGAGCCCTAGAAATGCTTGATCTGATATCATATTAAACAGAGAATAACATGGAATATATTTCTTGTATATTCATAATCAGAAAGAGGGAATTTATACACAAGAGAGGAGCTTGGACCATTAATGGCTCATTATTAGGAGATAATATCCTATCCTATCATATCTGATTTGATCCTATACTAATTACAATATATTTACATATCTTTACAAATTTCATCATCTATTTTCGTTTTATCCTATGCACATACAAATAAAGTTTAGAATCATTACATAGAAATTATGAAACATTTAAGAAAGTAACAGAGTTGTTTGATTCATACAACAATCCACTAGTCATATAAAACGATACACATTAGGAACTGTCTAATATAATAAAAAGAGTCATAAATCCTTAGTGTAATGCTCCAAAATGGGCAGAAGTTGTTCCTTCTAATCCTTCAGAGCTGCATACATTTCCTATGCCTCCGCCCGTTCCATAAGAAGTTGTGTGCACCGTCTAAAGAAATCAGGATCGCTGACAACTTCAGGAACTATTTTGAGGTAAGACAGGACTCCCATAATGGAAGTCTCATAAGCACGTGTTTCTTCTTCCAACCTTCTAGCTTCTGCTCATGACACGACCTCATTTCCACCTGAGTCTTAGAAATATTTGTTTTAGCTATCTTATTAAGTGTATCTGCTATTTTCATAGAGGGAGATGGTTTTTTCTTCATGACTTCACTCTTCCTTCTAACCCCCCATGAGCTACTAGGTCGACCCCCACCTCTACTTCTACCCCCATCATTGTTATCCTACCTAATCCCGATGTTGCCCCTACTACCTCTACTATTCTCATCGAAGTTCACTAAGTTAAATTCCCGACTTATATCAGTTGACGCACCTAAAAATTCATCACTAAATTGAAGTCCTCTTTCTCTGAATTTTTCGTAGTTTGGAACTTCTTGCACATTAGAAACCAATAATATTATAAAATATTCAAAAAAATAGTAAATATAAAAAAAAACATTGATAGGCAGAGAAAATGTAAGATCAAAAGGTTCAATAATTATCACTAATTTCTTCTCCCACCAATCATCAATTGCACTGACAATATTCTTTTCAGTACCCACCCTAAACCTGTCTCGCGAAGCAACCTATTCCATGTTTGCCACTCCTTTCATAGGGAATCATATTTGTTTTTAAATTGAGGTTTTGTGTAGGCTCTCCCAGTTTTGGCAGTAAACTTATCAGCAAGAATTTCCCAAGCTTTCTTTGTTAAGCTTGTGCCTTTTCTTTCTCCTTGTTGCACTAGTTCAATGCACAGGTCAATAAACACCTTTTTGGTTCCTAGATCCCAGGAAGCTTTCACGTTATCCTTACTTATTATGCTATAGCACAATTACAGATCTTCAGTCATCACAAGTTAATCAACCCAAAATCAATTAAAATAACAAGTTTCATTGTTATCCAAAAAAAAAGCTATCAATACCACTATTATTAACATTTTTCTTTCCTTCATAATTATTTCGAACCAAATAGAAACTCTATCTTTTTATTTATAATAAATAATAAATTTCTTTAACCTAACATAAAATGAACCTATGTTCATATTCGTTTCATGACCAGAAAAAAATTCTCTTTCCAGTTATGAATAACATTTTAATCTTTCAAGTTTGATGCGGATGGCAATTTTTTTTAATCAATTAATCTACCTCTTAAACAAGTAGAGTTTGAAGCTCCATTTACAAAATTCTCTCTGCAAACAAATACCTATTCAGGGGCACTACCTCACCAAGCGTCTATGCCTATCTTAGTCCACAGGTAAATGCTATTCCATTATTTGTTGTTATGGATGGAATCTAAATTGTAAGGAATTAGGATATGAACTCTCTCTCTCTCTCTCTCTCTCTCTTTTTTTTGTTTTTCTTGGTTCTCTCCTTACCTATTGAGATGTGGCAGAACGGTGCATTTATAAAAAACAACAGCTCCAAAAACATAAGTGTGCCGTGTGTTTTAGAAATACAATTATTTCATTAATTTGGACATATATAATCACAATAATATTTTGTGTTAATTCTTGAATACGCCCAAACTACAACATCGAAACTTTCATTAACAACAGGATTACAAAGAAGTACAAGGATTGTTTATCTTAAAAAAACTAATGTCATCATCTACATGGACCAAAAACAGGTCCTCTATCTTCAAAGCCACATCCCTGAAACCGAACAGAGCAATTTTGTGACACGGTTTCAACAGCTATGAACCAAGCAAATCGAAATCAGCTATGAACCAAGCAAAACAAATGAAGCTAGTACTGAAAATCAACCCACCAGTGAAGCAAAATGTCAACCACCACTAAGGTCTGCTCACGTTTGGGCTGAAACCAAGCAAAAACATCTATGAAAGACCAAAACACCCCTTAAGCCAGCACTGAGATGGAAAAAAAACTAAGGTTGGAGGAAATCTGAGAAGCAAACAGATCTATGAACCAAGAAAATGAAGGAATAAAAGAGGCACCAGACGATGCACTAAGGAAATCTGAGCAATGACCCGAATGAAGGAGATCGACGAAATTGATGAATGAAGATCAAGCATGAGGGAAGAAATGATTATTCAAGAGGAAAAGCTTACCTGAGCAGCGGATCTGAGCCAAGGAACCACCAACGTTGACCTCACCAAACTACCACCGGAGGATGCTTCACACCAACGATTGCAAACATATGATGGATGAATTAGAATGATCTTCTTCTGCAGAGCTAAGAAAGACCTCACCGGCGCCTTCAAACCGTGACTCGACGGTGACTTCACTAGCGGCAACTCATTCTGTCCAGGAGGAGCAAAGGAGGAATGGCAAGGAGACTTCTGAAGAGCAAAGGACCGAAGGGTGAATCATGAGTGAGAAAAGGGAATGAATAATTAAGGGCTCTTTTTGTCATGTACCGTTGGCCCTTCTCTGCAGAGTCAAAATTTGAGCCAGAAAGTGAAAATAAACTGCTTCATCCTAAACCATGGTTTTGGGCTCCACAACCATGGTTTCGGCCCAAACCATGGTTTTGAATAATTTGTACCCGTTTGGATGACTCTTTCCCCAAACCATGGTTTGAGATGATGTCCAAATAGGCTCTAAGATAGGGAAGCGAAATAAGGCCCATGGTGAAGAAGGCAGAACTGGTCTGTCAATCTAAAATTTACTTCAACGGACCTAATAACCTGAAATGGATCTCCTTCATCTTTATTATGTAATTTTGAATTTCGGGCAAATCACATGCAATATAAAGTCCAACACACATAATTTGATGTGTGATTAGGTCCCTGTTGCAGTATGTGCAGTACCCAAGGATTGCAATTAAAAAATTATTAAAAAAAATTTAGCACAAGTAAATGCTTGTTATATGGAATTAGAGAAACCCATAAAGGTAGGATTGGGAAATACTGCTTTCTCCTATGGTATTTTTTAATTCCACATATATAACTTTGTCTAATCACATATAATAAGCAATTTCTTATACTAAATACTTTTTGAATAAATTTTCTCAATTTTAATCCTAATTCCTATTCTTTATTTTTAATATTTCGTACAAAACAAGACTTAAGATTAAGATTAAGATTACCTAGATAATCCAATCTAAAGCCAATCTGCAGCCCAAACCAGATCGCCCTATAAACGCGACTTGCCCTTGTTCCAAGCAGGTACTTTTCATTTTGAGCTTCATTTTAATTCTCAAAATCTTAACTACATATCTTCTTCCATAGTTACCCTTTTTTAACCAAACTTGTAACAACTGCTCATCGAGTACTTGTGAGTGATTATTACCTTTATTATATCACTCCAAGCATTTTAGCTATATACTCCGCGTCTTTTATATAATGTCTTTTAGATTTTTTTTAATAATCAAATCATTTTACTGCTGGCCTTTAAAAATTATAGAAAGCATTAGTTATGTTTTATAGATAAGTTTTATTAATTGGTTAGGAGAAAAATAGAAAAGTTGGCTTAATTTTGTACCTTATTAGTTCGATTAGTTGGATAACGACCTTTTTATAGATATGTAAAAAAAAAATGATTGAAAAAGACTACCTTCACTTCTCAGTATAAGAACTAGTTGACTAATTTAATTAAATTAAAAAAATTTGTTAATTTAGTTATTTGTAATAAATAGGTGTTATCTTCCCCAAATCTTATTAATCATGTGTATTAGCTAGATATACTATTTGATGGAATCTGTAACATGTACAACTACTATAAAAATTATTTAAAAAAAAGGATAAATATGAGAAAAAAATGAATTTGGGTCTTATATTTAGTACCAAATTGAATGTCAAACTAGCTTTTATATTAACGATCAGAGACAGTATCTTATTTTTCAAAAAAAAAAAAAGAGACTAATAGGGGAATATATGCGATCTCAATAGTTAATGTTTCTGTCATTTCTCTCTCTAATAATATGTCTGTGATATTTTCCAAAAGATAATACTCTCCTAATCATATTTATAAGATAGAGAGGTTTTTCTTGATCTTATATATAAGTCCCCTCACTAAATCTTTAGCATTCTTTTTTATACAATTAAATTTTTAGTATGAATGTGTTATTTTGTCTTTCATTTATTATAGTGTAAATAGTTATTTTAATATTTTTTAAAAAAAGTATATATATTAAACAGAGATAAAGTTAAAAAATTGTTATATTTTAAAAGAGATTTGATACAGATTAATGTTTTAAAAATTCCCCATAAATAAAATCAGAGGAGTAGCTTTGAACTTTCAAGGCAAGATGAGTTTTTTTTTTTTTTTATGAAGGAAATCAATTTTGTGGGAACCACTAATCCTTTAATGTACGAACAATATATAAAAAAATATTTAGGTTATGTTTTTTATCTTAATCATGTTAAGTTCTCTAATCACATATGACTATATTTCCTACATTTTTATATGGATTTATAATTAAATAATAGTAAATACTTATATTTTAAAAATAATACTTATAGTTATGCGTTAACTTGACATAATAAATATAAAGAACTTGATGTAAGCATTGTTTGAAAAAAAAAAGAGATGAATTTAGTTACTATTGTTATAAAAAAAGAGGATTGTATATATTATTTGAGAGTAAAATAAAGAAAAGAGAGAGAGGTCATTCTCAAGTGCCGTATGTCGCCTCCCATGTTGTTATTCCTTGCCCCCTCATTCACTCATAACAAAAGCAGAGGGGCTCCACACGCTTTAATACCTACATGTTGGCTTAATGCCCTTCTTTTCTATCCAAAGCTATTCCGTCTCTTTTGTCTTTTATTATTATTATTATTATTATTATTATTATTATTATACTTTTGCCTTTCTTTTACTACTTTCCATTTCCCCTAATCCCATTTTTTATCATTAACGGTTTGGCTGAAGCTGTTAATCTCTTATAACATGATAAATTAATTTTTAAATTCCTGATAGAAGAGTTACTTATATTTAGTGTCTGCTAGTATTTCGAGCAAGATTATCTAATAGAAAAATACATCATTTTTTCATGGACTAAATTCCCTTCCATTTAATTTTACCAGAGATTATATAGAAAACAATTAGAAACATGGGGATGAATTATAAGATATGGCCTTTTTTTTTTTCATGTGTAACTGGAGTTAATAATTTTTATAATATTTATTATTATCTCCGGTTCTAAATATAAGAGTAAGTTAACTAATTTGGGGAGACTAAAAAATAAGTTAAGTCAGTCATTTGTAATAAATAAGTTTTGTCTTTCCTAAAATAGCCTTGCTAATCAAGTATATTAGCTAAAACTATTGTTATTAGAAAGACTATCTTAAAAAATATATATATATATATATAAGAGATAAAATAGATTAGATCTTATATTTAGAATCAAAATAAAAGTCAAACGAGGTATAATATGAAAGATAAGAGGTACTATATCTATTATTATTGTTTAATTATTAGAGATAAATGAATATTGAATAAAAATAATAATCTAAACGGAGCGCAAAAGAATCCTGTTGGCATCATTCGCACACCCACCACCATCACATTTCTTATCCACCATCCTGTCCCCCATTATAATTTTTAATTCTATTCTTTTTCCTATTTTCACACATAAATATAGTATTCTCCCTGCGGTCTTAAGTGTTAAGAATTTTTTTAATGCAAAATTTCAAACCCCTTCGTTTTTTTTTCAAATTTAATTTTTTTAACTATTCTAATTAATTGTACACATTTTCTAACAAATTGCATATTAAATATGTAAATAGGAGTTTTCATTAATGGGAGAAGTTTCAACGTAAATAATTAAAATATATATTTATTATAAATAACTAAATCAATTAATTTTTTAATATTTACAAATTAATTATGGGTTAAGATGTAAATTTATTTTGAAAGTTTTCATTCTAAAGCTTTGGGCATTTGAAATTTTTTTGGGTGTAAATTTATTTTAAAAAGTTTAAAATTGTAACAATTTTACCCCATACCATTAAAAAACTAATGTTAATCATTAAAATAGTGATATTGATTATTAATATTTTTAAAAGTAAGTTTAAATTGCTATAATTTTAAACTTTCGAGGCAAATTTGTATATGAAAAAACTTTTAACTGCCCAAAACTTCTAAATGAAAACTAAATTTGCATCTTTGCTTATTAATTATTTAGCTTCTATATTTAGAATTTGATGAATATGACATAATACATATTATAACAAAAGACTTGTTACTAACTATGCTTTCTTTTTAGATAAAATCGCCACTAATTATGCTTTCTTGTACTTAAGATGGATTAATGGGCTCCTCGAGGAAACGTGTAAAGTTCATTTTATTTTTAAAAATCTGATTTCAATTTTATTTTTAAAAATTACTTACACAAGAACTAGTTTATGCTCATCTACAAGCTGAGTAGAGTCCAGAGATTGCTAATCTCATCCTTAAATCCTATGATTAAAATATGAAATCAACCATTGGATTTGAATGGTTTATATTTTAAATTTAATTAAATTATATGAAACTTTCTTGAACTTAGAATTATGCACAACTAGTTTTCTTAACCATTAAAAGTAAATAATAAACCTCCTACAATTTCAAGTCTACGCAGATAATTCCAAGCCATCAATTTTATACCCCATTAAACTTTGTTTTTTTATGTATATAGAACCACTTCAAATTTTGAGTTGCAGAAAAACTTAATAAACATGGTTTCCTTATATTTTATCAGAAATTTCTGGCATTTTTATGTTTTTTTAATAGAAAATATAGATGTTAGTCTAATTTTAATATTTCGTCACATCACCTTAAAAATATATTAGTTGTTTTAGAAAAAGGAAAAGATCCATTGTTCATGTTGTTCATGAGTAATCTAAATGCTCTATCTTTTAGTTGTTCTGCAATGAATTTTATTTGGACATGCAGAAATTACATGTTCATGTAGTTTTAAAAAATTTATCGGAACAAAATTTCACAATATACTTTAACCATGCTAATAAAAAAAAAAACAACTTTGTATTGGATGAAGGAACTCAATTTTTTCTCATGTAAAAGGATTCAAGCAATGATTTTTTTTTTAAAAAAAGGTTATATTGAGAGGGATACTTTTGTTGAAGCCTGGTAGTCGTAATGCTAAAATTTAACTCCTATTTCTTATTCTTAATATTAAAGCTTATTTATACAATGTATCGGCTTGGCTGGCTTAATTAATATCTCAATTGCCAACAAGGTCCTGCATTTACTAGGAGCAACAGTAGAAATGATATTAAAAATCTCATGAAAAGACAGATATTGTTATAAATAACAATGTACAAAAAATCGGACCAGGCACTAAACCGGTCAAGACACGGTTCAAGGGTTAATGGGTTAGACTGGGGTCAACTCAGAATCAAACCGGTCATATTAAAAATAAAATAATTTAATTCATAACAACAAAATATTATAACATTAATCATCCTAATAACAAAATATAAGAAAATACAACAA